TATTCTACACCAGAAAGACATTTTATTTATTGAAAATAATAAATTATAAACATCATTTTCAAGGAGTAAGTCGAACAAGGAACTATAAAAAACTAGTTCACGATTTTTAAGACTAGCGACACCATAATTGAAATTCTTGTCCAAAATATCTTTTCCTTTTAATTCTCTATCGTCAGAAAAGTTTCTAGAAGGCATGTATTTCTCTTCTAACATTTTATATTTATCTTCAATTATAAGGAGGTTTTTCTCATTTATCTTAATTAAGTCAGCAACATAAACATACATGTTGTCATTTCCTAACTTGATCTTCTTCTCTTCATCATAGGGTGTCGTGATCCTAATTGTTTCTTGCGGACCTTTTTCATCAATATATAAGTAATCCAACTTTTTTCATCCTTTCACTTCTAATTTGAAATTCATTTATTGACTATATAGAATCATAGCAGTATATCTAGGGATTCTTATTTTATTTTCTGCATTATACACATTTGTTACATGAAATTTCGTTTACTCACTTAACTAATAATTCTTTCTAACAACGGGGATATTTGTGATGGCTTTCTCATTCCAACGTCCGGGTTCAAAGGAAAATGAACCAGCATCTTGCTTATATGTCGCTTCTGGCACATCATGATTCCGGAATTCAAACGCTCCAAACTCTTTCTGCAAAAAAAAGGAATGTGATTCCCCCAATGTTGTCCCACGTCCTGCGCGACATAAAAAGGTGTGAGCCATATCAAAATCGACTGTTGCAAAACTTTGCCTTCGCTGTTGTGCCCTGGATTTATACCTTCAGATCCGTTGTGGTGATGCATGATAGACGAGACAATTACTCGTCCAACCTTAATGTATATGTACTTATTTATAATCTATTTACTGTTCTTTCCTTTCAATTACGGGGCATAATTCAAACCCTTCGTAAGCAAACCAAGCAGAGCTGTTTCCGGAACAATAATTTCACTGCTTATAATGTTGACCTCCCTTCCCAATGAGAATCAAATTGGATTTAGCGGAGTCGTTAGACCCACGAAGTTAGTTTAATTCAAACGGGGCTAAAGCGTAAAGTAAAAACAAAATATTATTCACCGCGGCTGTTCCCGGCTGGGCTATGGATGGGCCAGCCGGTAGCAATTTAAATAATATCACTACACAACTTAAGTACACTATAATAGCGACTTCAATGGGATATTACTCTTTGTCCTCGATTAGGTAATAACAAGGACAACCATGTTTTCTCTGATTGTCCTTGTTATATGTCCTATCGTGTTACTCTACTTGCCCTCATATTTTCATCTTCATCTGTATTACTGTAGAAGATACCGTAATATTTTTTTGTCGGAGTTTCAGTCTGCTTTGTTCGCGAAACCGGGATGGTGATTGCCCCATAGCTTTTTTTTGAGAATTAGTTCAACCCAGTAGACTTTCCTTCAAGACTATCTTTATTCCATTGCTCCATCTCCATCTTTCCCTCACATGTCATCCATGGTAGTGCTGCTCGTATCGGATACGTAACGATTTCGAGCTGCACCAAGCCCGAGCACGAACATGAATAGAATGGCAACTGTTATCAGAATCAGAGGAACGTTCCAGTTATGGGTCAAGTCATGCAGCAAGCCGAAAAGCATGGGGCCGATAGCGGCTAACAGATAACCGACGGTTTGCGCCATTCCAGACAACTCAGCTGCTTCTTGGGCGGACTTCGTGCGAAGGCTGAAGAAGATCATCGCTAGGCTGAAGGAGAACGCTCCTCCAATTCCTATAAGAATCACCCAGACGGGAAGTAATGCATTCTGTTTCGCGAACAATCCCACGATACCTATTAGCAATAGTATCGTAGTAATAAGGATAAGCGGGCGTTGATTTCTCATTCGGGTAGCAATTATCGGAACTATAAATGTAAAAGGCAGCATGGAGAATTGCATCAGCGACAGCATCCAACCACCGCTATCTTCGGACATGCCGCGGCTTACCAAAATCTCTGGAAGCCAGGCGGCAAGAATGTAGAAAACCAAGGATTGTAGGCCCATGAAAGCCGTTACTTGCCAAGCAAGTCCGGACTTCCAAAAGCTCGGTCCTTTCTCCGCTTTTGAAACGGAGAAAGATGTGGATCGCTGTGATGAGCGAAGCCGCGGAACCCAGCTGACCATCGCCAATATGACGAGAAGGCACCAACAAACAAGCGCCCCTTGCCAATTAAAGCCTGTTCGAGCAAGCGGGATACTGATTCCGGAAGCTAAAGCACCACAAAGATTCATCGCAACTGAATAGACTCCGGTCATCAACCCGACTTTATCACTGAAATCCCTCTTCACAATACTTGGAATAAGCACATTAAGTATAGCAATGGCTAGTCCGATGAATAACGTGCCCAAGAACAAAGTTCCTGTTCCCGATAAAGAACGGCTTATCGATCCGATTAGGAGAACGATAAGCGCGTAGAAAACAACCCGCTCCATTCCGAAGCGGCGTGCGAGTCTAGGAGCAAACGGAGACATTAGAGCGAAGGCCAGCAAAGGTACTGTCGTTAACATTCCCGCAAGCGCACTGGATATTCCCGTCGTGTCGCGTATATCGCCTATAAGCGGACCGACCGAAGTAATAGGAGCCCGCTGGTTCGCCGCTACCAAAATAATTCCTAAGACAAGCAACCAGGCATAGTTTACGTTAATGTTGATTTTGGAATCAACCAATTGGTTTGATTGTTTCATCTGATGTTCCTCCAAACGATTAAAAATGGCTTTGAGTGAGCTGGATATAACGATAAACGGATTGTTCCGCCAACTCTTCATCCTGCTTATCAATTGCTTGCAGCAATTGCTCATGAAGATCGACGTACTGATTCTGATCGCTAATGCTCTTAACTGATTCGATCACTTCTTGCAACGCCTCCGCAATATTCGAATACATCTCGATCAAGAGATCATTATGCGAAGCCATTATGACGGAGCTGTGGAATCGCAAGTCCCATTCTACGTAGGCCTCAGTATCCTTGTCAGCAATCGCCTGGAAACACCGATCGAGGCAGTGGCGAATGCGATCCAGATCTTCCTTTGAACGACGACGTGCCGCCAAGATCGCCGCCTCGCGCTCGAACGCATGCCGGACCTCCAACGTTTGAAGAGCATCTGTCTTCAAGACTCGACGTTGCAACGCTGGACCAAATGTACTAGTGGATCGAACGTAGGTCCCGTCTCCTTGCCTTGTTTGCAGCATTCCCGCATGGGTCAGAGCACGGATCGCTTCTCGGAGCGTATTACGGCTAACCTCCAACTGCTCCATCAACTCCGGCTCGGGAGGAATTCTCTCGTCGCGCTTCCACACTCCTTGTTCAATCAACTCTTCTATCTGCTTCGCCACTTGTTCGACGAGTGTAAGTCGATTTGTTTTTTGTAGCATTTCTTCCTCTCCTTAAACGTAGGATGATTGGATGTTACCAACATTATCACAATTGATAATAATTATCAACAGCTAAAAACTGAGAGCATAATCTATCGTTAGAAATGACTGAGGACAAGAACTTGTACCGATTAAATAAAAAAAGCCGCTAAAATAGCGACTTCAATGGGAATATGTTTTTGTCCCTCGACAATTGATTGATTCTGGTGGTTGTATTGTTTCGATCACAGTCACTCGTTCTTTTATTTGGCTCTTTGTCCGAAAAGAGCGCTCTTCATAACACTTTCAGATTCGTTCATCCTGAACAAACAACAACACCACTTTATTACGACGATTTAATCTTTAGTAACAAAACTTGTCCCAACCCACAAGCTATGATGAAGCAATCAAAGATACTTCACCTTATATGTGGGTTGTGGAAAATTCAGTATCTATAATAGTCCGTTCCAAGCAGTCATACCGCCTGATAGATTAACAAGCCGTTTATAGTTCTTGTCTTGCATCAGTTCACAAGCTATTCTACTCCTTTTTCCCCCTCTACATACGAATAGAATTTCTTTGTCTTTCGGCAATTCCTTATATCGCTCAGCTAAATCTCCCAAACGAATATGATAGGAGCCAGGGATAATACCAGTTGCAACTTCATTGTCTTCTCGAACATCAACAATAAATGGACGTTCACCATGCTCCATCCGTGATTTAAGTTCCGTTGCAGCCAGATCCTTAATAACAGGTTTGGAATGCCCAGGAGGATGTTCCAGTTCAGTTATAATATGCTGCGCCCATTTCGCATTCCATTGCTTTATATCTACCTTCCGAATTTGAAACGCTACAAAGGGGTCTCTCTGCAACAATGAATTAACTTCTACCTTTGAAGTAGCTTTAAAAATAGCTAATCCTTCAGCATCATCCTCAAGCTTTCCGTTTCCAATAACATGTCCGAGTGCCCGAAGCTCATTGAAGTAATCGATGTGCTGCTGCAAATATTCTTTCTCTTTCGTTGCATCTAGAACTGTGAAGATGACTACATAGTTAGGCATGAAGTTCTCTTCCTTCCCCTTTAGCAATTTCTATCCCTGGGTGATCCTTTGTAAGATAATCTCCTGTTCCGAAAGCTTGTTTCGATACGCCCCCTCCGCATATTCCGACTGCATCATTCCTCTTTTTTGAAGCTCAGGTACAACCAGATCTACAAAACTTTCAATCGTTCCTGGTTGGATGATATGTCCTATATTGAAGCCGTCCGCACCTGTTTCAGATATGAATGTCTCCATATAGTCTGCAATTTGCTCTGGTGAGCCAATCGTGAGAGAACTCGTACCAAAAGCATAAAAATTAGCCAATTCATCAATTGACCATTTCTTCTCAGGGTCGCTTCGTCTTAGCGATTCGATGATACCTCGATTATCATTTTTCTCAACAAATTCAAACAATTTACTTTCGCCTGCCGAAGCAAAGTCAATACCTGTCCAAGAACCAAGAAGAGCAAATATGCCTTCTGAACTTGAATATTTAAGAAATTCCTGATATTTTTGCTCTGCTTCTGACTGTGTACGACCTACAATTGGCGTTAATTTGGGGAAGAACAAAATATGAGCTGGATCGCGATCATACTGCTCCGCACGCTGCTTTATATCTTCAATAATAAATTTAGTAGCTGCAATAGTAGGAGTGTTTAAAAAAACAGCTTCTGCATGCTTTGCCGCAAACTCTCTCCCTCGTGTTGAGTTGCCTGCTTGGAACAATACCGGTGTACGCTGAGGGGATGGCTCACATAAATGAATACCAGGAACAGAATAATAGTCACCTTTATGCCCGATGTCATGTACTTTGGAGGGATTGGTATAGATGTTCTTGTCACGGTCTAATACAACAGCATCATTCTCCCAGCTTGCCTCCCAAAGCTTATAGGCAACCTCCATAAACTCATCAGCACGCTCATATCTTTCATTCAGTCCAATCTGATGTGACAATCCAAAGTTTTTGGCTGCACTTTCCAAATTCGAGGTGACGATATTCCAACCGACACGTCCCTTGGTCAAATGATCCAATGTAGATAACTTGCGTGCAAGAGCATACGGATGCTCATAAGAGGTTGAGTAAGTCACCGAAAAACCAAGATGTTTCGTTGCAGCAGCCATGGCTGGAATGAGTAAACCTGGATCATTTAATGGTATTTGAACGGCATTGGTTAAGGATGCATCCATGCTTTGCTCATAAATATCATAAACACCAAGCATGTCTGCAAAAAAGATAGAATCAAACTTTCCTCTTTCGAGTGTTTTGGCAAGTTTTATCCAGTAGTTTAAGTTTTTATATTCAGCGCTATTATCTTCTGGATGCGCCCATAAACCTGGCGAGGCAGTCGGACCATTAATCGTAATCGCATTTAGGAAAATTCTATTCTTTCTCATTTTGAAGTAATCACTCCTTTATTCCATTGCTGTCCGATATGGGTTTTCGGTAAACGGGATCCATTTCCAAATAGTTTATGACGTAAAGTACCTTCATTATATTCCTTTTGTACTTTGCCTCTGCGTTGTAGTTCCGGAATTACCAGCTCAATAAAATCTTTAAACGTATCATAGCGGTGCACGAAAGCGATATTAAATCCATCGGCACCTGTTTCATCCATAAAATGTTCTAACCGATCAGCAATCTGAGTCGGAGTGCCTGCAACGAGCGAGCCTACACCACCAAATGCAAAATATTTCGCAAGTTCCTCCAGTTTCCATTCTTTATCCTTATAATTACGTTTGAAAAAATCTGCAAGATAATTACTTCCGTTACGTTCCTCTCCCTGTTGTATAAAAGTAAGGAGCTCCGTGGCATCGAATTTACTGATATCAATTCCTGTCCATGCTGACAATAAAGACAAAGCACCCTCTGCACTAGAATATTTTAGACTTTGTGCTAATTTAGCTTGAACTTCTTCATCCGTTCTCCCAACAATAGGATTGATTTTTGGAAAAAATAAAATATCGTCTGAATTCCGTCCACATGCTGCCGTTTTTTGGCGAATATCCTGAATGAGAAAACGTGTCTCCTCTATGGTCATAGGATTCAAGAAAATACATTCCGCATGTTTAGCGGCAAATTCACGTCCACGATCAGAGGAGCCTGCTTGAAAGATTACTGGTGTCCGTTGTGGTGAGGGCTCTGCCAAGTGGATACCTGAAACATTGAAAAAAGGACCCTTATGATCGATGGAATGCACTTTATCCGGTTGTGTGTATATACGCTTCGAACGGTCTCTTAACACCGCATCCTCTTCCCAACTAGCATTCCATAGTTTATAGGCAACTTCTAAAAATTCTTCGCCACGATCATATCGTTCATCATGAGATATTTGCTTTTCCAAGCCAAAGTTTTTTGCGGCACTGTCAAGATTCGAAGTTACAATATTCCAGCCCACTCTTCCATTCGTCAAATGATCAAGAGTAGAAAATTTTCGAGCCAACGAATAGGGATGATCGTAGGTGATTGAGCTTGTAACTGCAAAGCCTAGATGTTCGGTTACTGCAGCCATTGCCGGGATGACATAAGCTGGATCATTAATAGGTAAATATAACCCTTCTCTTACAGCCGAATCTCTGCTGCCTTTATAAATATCATACACACCTAATATATCTGCAAAAAAAACTGTGTCAAATCTCCCCTGCTCTAATAAAGTTGCTAATTCTACCCAATATTCAAGATCCTTGTAACGTGCAGATGCATCTTCGGGGACCCTCCACATACCTGCATTATCCTGTAGAGGGCTGGCCATTTCTACAGCATTCAAACGTATACGTTTTTTCATTCGAACACTTCTCCCTAATTCATTATTCGTTCTCTGATTTCATTGCCGATTCATGCCAAGAATTAAGTAGCATTTTGCTGAATTTATTAACTACAAAAAAAAGAGTCATGCCTAGCACAGATGCTGATAAACCACATGCAAATAAATATGGAGTCTGCAATCGTATGGCAGCCATTGTTATTGCATAGCCTAGCCCCCCATTTCCACCTCCGATCCCAACGATATATTCCCCTACAATAGCTCCGACGACAGACAGGGTTGCTGATATTTTTAATCCTGCTGCAATATAAGGAAATGCAGCAGGCAGCCGAAGTCTCCACATAATTTGCCATTGGCTCGCATCATAAAGATAAAATAAATTTTTCAAGTTTCGATCCGTTGAATGAAGACCAATAAGTGTGTTTGAAAGTACAGGGAAAAAACCAATCAAGAAAGTAATAACTACAATAGCTTTGAACCCCGCTCCAAACCAAATGACGATAATTGGGACCACCGCTACAATAGGGATTGTTTGCAATACGATAGCATATGGATAAATGCTGCGTTCAACCCAACGTGAAGAAGCAAGAAGGATAGCAAGTGGCACTCCAATCAGAACGCTTAGAAGAAATCCTATTATTGATTCATAAGTAGTTGTCCATAATGCACTAAATAATAACTTGTGGTTATCAATCGCTGAAGTCATTATATCGCTAGGTTTCGGCAGTAGATAAGCTGGAGTACCTGACAACATAAGCACGTACTGCCATAATATAATGAGAATGAAAAATGCAGCAGCAGGCGGGAGGGCATCCAGTACTGTCCTTCTCCATTTGTTTAAAAGGTGTCGGCGTATAATTACTTTGTTTTCTTCAGAATTGACGTTCACGTTTGTATTCATTTGAACCCCTTCCTAGACTGAGCTCTTCGTCAAATCTTCACTGACGTGTCTCACAAGATTGCTGAATTCTTTAGACGTTCTAAAGTAATCATTACGAGGATATGCAACAGGTACGTCAATATCTGAAGCTATGCTACCCGGCCGTGCCGACATCACAACAATGCGTGAGGATAAAAACACTGCCTCAAATACATTATGCGTGACAAACAATATAGTCATCGAAGGATCTTGTTCGCGAATAAGCAATAGTTCATTCTGCAGCGCTTGACGGGTCAATTCATCCAATGCTCCGAACGGCTCGTCCATAAGTAGTAGGCGTGGATTAGAAATCAATGCTCTAGCGATTGAGACACGCATTCTCATGCCGCCAGACAATTGGCGGGGCAAAGCATTAGAGTAATTGTGCAATCCTACCTTTTTCAGGACTTGCTTTGCTCGTTTATTTCGTTCTTCTTTTGAAACTTTCCTCAGTTTTAAAGGTAGAGTCACATTATCCAGCACAGAGCACCAAGGCATTAGTGTCGCATCTTGAAAAACATATGAAACGCCACCGGTTTTACGAGATAAATCTGGCGATTGGCTAAATATGTGAATGTCTCCTTCACTTGATTGACTCAATCCCGCTATTAAGCGAAGAAGAGTCGATTTTCCGCAACCAGATGGACCAACGAAGGAAAGAAATTCCCCTTCTTTAATACTCAACTGAACATCTTGCAAGGCAACTGAGCCTTCATCATAGCGTTTGGTTACCTGATTTAGCTCAACTTGCACTCGAGGCAATGCAGCAGTCTCAGAATTAAAGTCTGAATGAATGGTATAAACTTGACTCATGTGCTCTCCCCCTATTTAGTATTTCTACGTTTTTTCAAGTTTACTTTCCTGGTAAAAAGTCAGTTGTAAAAGCTTTCGTTACATCTTCACTCTTTTTTAATATACCTATATCTTTAAGCTGATTACTAAGCTCAACCCAACGCTCTTGGGTCATATAACCCACGCCAAATTCAGCTGCATCATCACCATAAATGAATTCTTTTTGCAAGTTTGCTTCAGCAACTATCGCATGTGGATCAGCATTGGGATTGGCTTTCACTAACTCCTCACTTATTTCTTCAGGGTTATTCTCAAAATACTTCCACCCTTCAATTGAAGCTTGCACATATGCTTTTATAACATCTGGATACTCCTGTAAATAAGATTCCGTGGTGAATAGTACCGTATAATATGGTCTGTATCCTGAATCAGCAATTAGTAAATGTTTGGTTTGTACACCTTGCGTTTCCAGATCGGCCAATGTGTTTGTAACATACCCCTGTGTCACAGCCTGTGGATCGTTTACAAAGTTTGAGTATTGACCATTGAATTGAAATTCCTTAACTTCAGTAAGATGATACTCTGACTTCAAGTAATCCCAATAAGGAGCTACCAAAGAAACATAAGTCGAACGTCCATTCAAATCTTTAAAACCATTAATATCCGTATTTTCCTTATGATAAAATAATGCTGAAGGACTTTTTTGCAGTATAGCTGCTAAAGCCACAATCGGGATTCCTTGCTCTCTTGCCAGCAATATATCATCCGCACTGGCTAAGCCAAATTGTGCCTGACCTGAAGCAACAATTTGGATAGCCGACACTTGGGGCCCACCAGATTGTATGGTCACTTCTAAATTTGCGGCTTTATAGTCGTTTTGAACATTAGCTGCGTAGAACCCACCATGTGTTGGCTGTACGAACCAATCTAATACTTGAGTGATTTTTGTTAATTCATTTGCATTAGCCATCACGGAATCTTCTGGTGAGGAAGTAGTATTTTTTGCTGGAGGATTTCCAGTTGTTACCCCTCCACAAGCTACTAATATAAAGACCATCACTATAAGTATGAACATGACCCCATTTTTCTTTTTCATATTAATCCCTCTCTTCTTACAATTATTTTGAACAAATTTTGAAGAGCTTACTTGAGTCCTCCTTTTTATTCTTATAGGAATAATAGGTTTAATGACAAAAAAAAACGTCACCTAAAGTTATTAAAGATGGACAGACCCCTGCGAAAAGCAGAACTGGCCAGAGATCTTTAATAATCTTTGGGAGACGAAATCATAATTCGTCGACTACCGTACTCTCTACTAATTTCTAGATACGATAGTCCTTCTGAACTTGAATTTATAATAATACAAGTCTAATCATTTTTCAATAGATTTGGCACCAATAATTTAAATAAACCTATCGGATAACCCAGATTAATTTCAGGATGTAAGGTAATATCTTAGAACCTAGTGGGATTCTAAGCATTCGTGTGTGTATGAAAAGCTTAGCCAGGAAATAACCTTCAAAATAGCTATACAAGAGAAATCAGCAGCCTCTTACTTAAAAAGACGATTGCTTTCTCTGTATCTGCTTAACGAGAGGATAACCTTCTTTAAACGAAAAGTTAAAGCACTTTTACTTTCCAGGGTTAGAAGCATTTCAGAAAACCAGTTAGGCAAAAAGCAGCACCTATTTTCAAATAGTTGTAAGTCAACAGATTAAATGATAAAACGCATATCGAACAACCGCATCAAACCAACATTGTCGCCACAGAAAAGGATAAGCTGTTACCATATCTGGTGATAAGCACCGTAGAAATTACCAGTAAGCGACAAATTACAGAGTTAATGATAAAGAGCGTTTTTTATAATTAAAATATTGAAAGATCTCTTCCCAAGTTAATTAATTATAGTAGCAGAAGTTATCTTTGTTGTTCTCTAGTGTGTTCAGAAAATTAGACTCTAAAAGTACTACGATGGTTATTGTTTCACACGACAAATCAGTTTCTGTTTTATGTAAAAAGTTAAATAAATTAAAAAACAAGACTCTTAATATAGATTCATAGATATAAAACATTAATATCGTAAATAATGCTCAACACTAAGATATTGTTTCAATTGCTGACTAAAAATCGTTCCAACGGATAGCCTTCTCTTTCGTATGGAACTTTCGTGTGGAACGTTTTTTAATATAGCGGAAAAGACTCTGCTTGTTGCAAGCACATAACATACATCATTTATCGATTCGTTTGAACTAAGATAGTACATTATAAAGACAGTAGGTATCCCTAAATACAAATCATTATGACCATGGAGAGTTCATCTCTAGTTTCATATAGCATTTCGATCTTTTGGTCTTTCGCAGCCTTACTAGGTTTAGACAGGAAATCATGTAACTCAATGTGAAGGTAGTGTTTCGGTGACCTACTCCATTGATAATGTTTGTTTCAGCACAGGAATCAAGCATACTGAAGATAGATCAGCTAATTAAATTGTTGGATGAACTCTGTACAGTCTGATGCGGTATAAATATCCTAAGGATCGGCAGAACGTATCGTTTCTACATAATTAATACTAGGATGAGGCTTGTTGCTGAAATTAAAGCAAAATAGATTACCCTCCTCATTTATAGCAAAAGGAAAATGATTAAGAGGGTGACTGTTTTTTTTTATTTATTATATACATTCAAATATATCAAGATCATCAAATGCGATGAAGGACCACAATCAAGATGTTTCTTAGAAAATGTACATTGAGTCAGAAATCAGTATTGTATCACCGGAGTAAATATGCAGTTGATAACTCCTTATATCTATTCGAAGCCATTTAAATTCAAAGTTGCTAATTCATTGATTAGATCACTTCGCAACTCTTTTCCAAGTAATTCCTGGTAAACCTTTGCCTTTATCTGTATCATTTCTTTCTCTAAGCTACCTTCTAGTTCTTGTAAAACTATTAAGTCTGTGTTTGATAAAGGTTTACTTTTAACAGAAACGTAATTACGGTAGATTGAAGAGTCCATGCGCCAAGCGTAGAACTTAGCGGAGAACTCTTTCTTCATGTTATGAAACATCTGGATACCCGGCACATCGAGATCACCAGAATAGTAAATAATACAGCCGGGGTTAGCTTGTAGACATTTTTCTAAGAATACTTTTGATGCGGTTCTTGCCTGACCAATAGTACAAATTAAGATTGGGAAATCTTGAGGGAGTTGCTCTAGTGACAACTTGTTTATATTGAGAAAGTAAATAATTTCATCAACTAGGAATGAAATGACGGCCGGGTTCTCAATAATATAGATGGATGAGTAAA